GCTGTTAACTGCAACACTGCTCCATCCTGTGCGCTGGCTTCACCGGGGTCTTTCCCTCCACCCGCTCACATGATGAGAAAGGAAGAGAGGCACAGAAAGAAGAAAAGGACCTCAGGAAGAGGAATATAGACAAGGAAAGGAACTGCGGTCAAAAGGGAAACTGAAAGTGACACACGGATAATGAGAATAAAAAGACCAGTGGGCCGGGCGTGGCCCTGTCCAGCTGCGATCTGAGCCTTTGGGAAACCGAGGCAGGAGGAGCACCACAAGTTCGAGGCCAGCCCAGGGTACATATTGAGACCATGTCTCCACTCCCTCGTGAGAAGACAAGATCCAGATCAAGACGTGTGAGAGGCACTTGCGCTTTTCCCGTCACATCCGGACAGCCACCAAGACCTACAGGTTTTGCCTGGGAGCACTCGTCCTGCACCCCCTGCGGCCCTGCACGAGTTCCAGGCCCTGCCGTCTCCCTGCTGGGTGTTATAAAGCCCTCCCCCTTGGTCTGCGTGCGTGTGCTTCCCCTCCTCCCTAAGATCCGAACCCATTCCGTTCTGGGTTGTTTGGGGTGTTTTTGTTGCTGTTTTTTGTTTTTGTAGATTTGTTTATTTATTCATTTAGCGATACTGGACACTGAACCCAATGCCTTTGCACTGAAAGCATGAACATCCCCAGCCCTTAGAAAACATCCACTCTTCGTGTGGCTTTCAGGCTCGGTGTTCTAACAGTCCAGTATGAGTGGGTCCCTCCCTCACTTAACTTTTTTTCTTTTCCTTCGTTTTCTTTCTCTTTTCCCCGATGATGGAGGAGGAGCCTCATACATGCTGGACAAGGTTCTCCCCGCGAGCTCCATCCCCGCCCTCCCTAGAGTTCCTCGGCTCCCGACACTGACACTGGGAACGGAATTCACACGGCTTCCCTCCCTCCCTGCGTGCCCGCTGCACAATGGGACACAGGTCGGGCTCCCTCTCACCTCTGGCTTTGCGCGCACTCCCTTCCTCCACCCGAACCCTCCCGCCCCTACCGTGAAGGCCAGGCCGGCCGCGCTTGCCCGTGGGTGACCAGCAGCCCCTGGTCAGGGACCCAGCGAGCTCTGTTGTGCTTGGCTCCCGGAGGTCAGGGAGCCTCCGTCTGCGTCTGCCAAGCCCTGTGCTCAGTGAGGTTTGTGGCGTAGAAGAGAAGCTGACCAGGTGGGCTGAGACCTGCGGGGACTCAGAACGGGCCCCCCAAGGAGTGGCCCCTGGACTAAAGGACTTGGAAGGCCTCAGAAGCAGTCTCCGAATCCAGGTCTCTCTGATCTTCTCCTGCCCTCCTGTCTCTCGCCCCTTTTTCTCTCCCAAAACAAGCTACAGGAAGTAGAATTCCTCCTCCCTAAGACGGGTCCTTCAAACTACAGCACGGAAACACTGAATAATCCGGCACCCACTCCAGCTCACACCTTCGCATGTAACAGGTGACCGTAAAGAAATCCTCTGTGACCTACCTGCCTGAGAGCGGGTCTAAGACCCCCTTTCCAGAGGGATTTTGCACCATGCCCAGGAGAAAAAAGTGCCACGTAGGGAGGCTGAGAAGCTGAACAGGTGGGCTCGGCGGATTCCCCACTGAGTTCACTGGGTCAGGCCCTGGCTGTCTAATTCCTACAGGTCCGTTAACTCTTGGTCTAGTCTGAGCATACAGCGGGCAGTGTTCCTTAGGTCTTCGGGCCTTTATTTCTGCTTTGTTTTGCTTGTTTGTTCTGAAACAGAGTTTCAGTATCTAGCCCTGGCTGGCCTCAAGTTTGTGGTCTTCCTGTCTCAGCCTCCCAAGTGCTGGGATTTCAGACGTGCACCACGAGGCTGGCTTGGGTCTTCCTTTCTGAAGCCTCCTCTGTTACATAAAACTTTGATTAAATAAATTTATTATTTTTTTCTCTTGTAAACCTGTCTTTTATAGGAATGTGGATCATGCTACTTATGAGGGAAGGGACCGTATTATCCAGCCCTTGCAGAATAAAAAGAATTAGTAAGACTAGTAAAACATGGTAGGCAAAATTACAAGACCTCAAATAGAGAAGAAAAAGAGGATGAATAGCGTATACACATCCAGAACATTATCTGCATGTCAGAGGACACCAAAACTCTTAAGGAACCTTATTCTGAGAGCAGCCGTGTTCCCTGTGGGCAGGGGGAGGGATTTAGACTCTGCACCACTAGTCCCAGCCTCTCTACAACCCTCAGATGGAATCAAAACAGCAGCAGCAGCAATGCCATTATTTGAAGTAACTAGCTGGTATTATAGCATCTTGATCTTATAAAAATTGAATAAAATCATGTTTAGAAATGTTGCTTTTTTAAAACCTATAATTTAGAAGCTAAGTGAAAACTGACTTATGGAAAAGAATGTTCATGGGCTGGGAATTTAGCTCAGTGGTTCTGCTGCCTGCCTCGCAAGTGCTAGGTCCTGAGTTTGATTCCTGATACCATAAATAAATAAAAAATACAAGAACATTCGTATCAATGTTTTTCACATCAACCAAAACCAAGTGTCTATCCATCATTGTAAGAATGAATTGAAGCATATTGATAGAAAATAATATTATATCACAATAAAAAGTCTGATATAGACAACCATGGGGGTGATCTCACAAATACAATGTTGATCAGAAAAAAAAAAAAAAAAAAAAGCCAATGAGCCAGAGATTTAGCTCAGTGGTTCTAGCGCCTGACTCAAAAGCACAAGGGCCAGAGTTCAATCCCGGGCACACAAAAAAGGGCTAAACGCAAAGGAGTACATATTGTATGATTTCTTATATGAAACTGAAAGGCAGGAAAAACTAATCCTTGTCGACAGCGGTCAGAGAGTACTTAGTTGTCTTTGCGGGGTGTTGACTGGAGGGGCCACCAGGGAACCTGCTGGGGACTCAGAGGTGTGTGGAACTGGGTAGCACTACATGGTCACAGAGACGGACACATCCACGGGCTACGCACCTCAGAGGGGCGCGCTCAGTGACCCAGGTTACACGTCAATAAAGGAGAAACATCAAGGTTGTAGCTCAGTGGTCAGGCGCATGCACAAACAGAACAGGTGCCAGGCCCTGGTTCAATCCCTAGAGCCAATAAAGACAGAGGGGAGGAAGAATAATCCAGAATGATTTATTTTTATTTTTTTATTTTTTTGTGGTGCTGAGGGTTGAACCTAGGGCCTCACACCGTGGAGGCAAGTGTGCTGCCACTAAGCTATAGCTGCAGCCCCCACAGTAGTGTGTTGGCTCTGAAATGCAACTTCAAGGCAAGGCCCTTGGCTACCTCCACCCTTCACGAGATCACTACTCTTAGGCTCCTCCTGTGAGGAAGTCCAAATCTGCCCCCGTGGAGAACTTGGGGAGCCTGGAGTGTGCATTTGGGGTTGTATCAGTCTGATCTGTTGTACTGGGGACGATTAGTCCTCCTATCTGCATAGAAAGGGGTGCACTGAGGGATAAAGGAAGAGAAAGACACAATCTTGAAGCCCATGGCAAGCTGGGAGGTCAGTACCAGAGTGGGCAAAGACAAAGTCGCTTCGAGCTAAGCACTATTTATTAGTGCACGCGATAAGGGGAAGGCGTACTGGCTATGTTGACGAGGAGATGAGATGGGAAAAGCATTCTTACAATAGCAGGTGAGAAGAGATAGCAGGCTAATGAGAAATCTGTCCTTCTCCCAGGAGAAACCTTCCTCTCTCTTTATCATCACTTGGTTCTCAAAGACCCGGGATGTTTCCAGCTGATATAATCTTGCTTTTGCTCTAGGGACCATTGAGGCCTCAGCTGTGGCACAGAGTTTTTTTCTGCCTGCTGTAACTGGCTCTCAGGCAAGGAGACACTGGGCCTCCGACAGCCCTAACCACAATTTAATTATGAAGTGATTTTTCTCAAAACACTGTATAGCATGGCTCTCGACGCTGTCGGGGCACGAGGCAGGTGGCATCCTTCAGACATGGGTGAGATCTCCATGTGCGCGGCTGCGCGAGTCATCCCTGGATGAGGGCACCAAAGGATCCTCCGCCAACCCGGACAGTCTGCGGAGCGGAAGGGGCTCCGGGAACGTTTTCACCCGGACAGTGGGCGCACATCCGGGAGTCCTGGCCAGGGGTCTGTGTGGAGCTTCTTGATCTGCAACCTGCCAGGTGACCTGAAAGCACACAAGGCTGGGCGTACCAGAGAAGGAAATGGGCAGGGAGAAGCCTGCAGTCGGCCTGGGGCGCAGAGCTGTCATAAATGAGCACTCTTCAGGGAACTGCACTTTCAGCCCACAGCCCAGCTGCTCCCCAGAAGCTCCCCGAATTGCCTGTCCCTTCTCTGGAACTCCTAGGCCTGACCTCACTCCCTGGCTGTCCCAGCCCACGGTGCCCCTGAGCCCACTCCCTTTCCCAGAACTCAGTGGCCTGAGCCCCCAGGCTGCGGTTCTCTCCTAGGCCTCAGCCTTTCCTGCCTTCGACTGAAACAGCAGTATCTTCTAAGCCCTGGGGGCTTCCCCAGGCCCCAGCCCCGACCTAGAACCCGCCTCACTGCCACTGCCGCTTCCTCTATAAAGGGACCCAAGCGTCCCTCTGGGCCCAGGGGCCTTGCAGAGCAGGTGAGAATCTCCTGCCCATCTCCCTGCCTGCCTCGCATCTCAGTCCTGTGCCTTCCTGCCCCTCCGCCTGGGCCCAGCCCCTCCTGCTCCTCTGGCCCGGATTCCGCCTGCCTCTGCCTGGGCCCTGGTAGGTTTGGTTTGGTTTGTTCCCCAGCGGTACCTCTTCATCTGTCAGTCTCTCTTGGTCCCGGTCACACATTCTCTGATTCTGTGCCATCCCTCTCTCTCTTCCTGTCTCTCTTCCTGCCTCCCCCACACACCTCAGGTCTCCCTGCCTCGGTCTCATCCCCTGCTCTGTCCTGCACCCTGTCTGTCAGGGTGGCTGTCTCCACACAGGGCCGGGCGGGCGGGAGGTCTGTCCTTGGCCGTGTGCCCCGCCCCACGCCGTCTCTCTCCCTGCAGACTCTCCCCATGTCACCACCTGGACGTCTCTACCTCCTGAGGGTGCGTGGCGCCCCCCTCCTCTTCCTCCTGGGGCTGCTGCTGGCCCTGCTGCCGCCTGGGGCCCAGGTGAGGCAGTAGTATTCTGGGGACAGCTGGTGTGACCCAGCCTGACCTGAACCTCTAGAGACTTCTGCACTGTCTTCTCCCCTAGGGACTCCCTGGTGTTGGCCTCCCACCTTCAGCTGCCCGGACTGTCTACCAACCCTCCCATGGCTCCCTCAAACCTGCTGCTCACCTCGTTGGTAAACTTGCACCCGACCTCCCCAGCTCTCCTCCTACTCCCCACCCGGGAACCCAAGTACCCCCCCTTCCCCACCCCAGGGACAGGGAGAGGTCACCCCCACCCCACTGCACCCCCCGGGGGTGGAGGCCTCCGACCAGATCCCTGACTCCCACCCCAACCCCTGTGGCTCTTCCCAGGAGATTCTGGCACACGGAACTCGCTGAACTGGAGAATGAGCAGGGACATGGCCTTCCTCCGCGGCTTCTCCTTCAGCAACAATTCCCTCCTGATCCCCACCAGTGGTCTCTACTTCGTCTACTCCCAGGTGGTCTTCTCCGGGCTAAGCTGCTCTCCCACGTCCGTGCCCAACTATCTCTACCTGACCCACGAGGTCAAGCTCCTCACCTCCCGGTACGGCTCCCCTTTGACTCTGCTCAGCACCCAGAGGTCCCAGAAGTTCATGTGCCCAGGGCCACAGAATCCCTGGGTGCGCTCTATGTACCAGGGCGCTGTGTTTCTGCTCAGACAGGGAGACCAGCTGTTCACCTACACTGAGGGCATCCGCCACCTGCTCTTAAGCCCCAGTACTGTCTTCTTTGGAGCTTTTGCTGTGTAGAGCTTGGAAAATCCAAAAAAAGGAAAATAATTTTTGGTTTCAAGGCCTTCTCGCCACTTTGCCTCCATTCTGACCGTTCCAAAGGTCATCACCACCACTCCCCTGCCGCCCCAACAGTCTCCAGTCTCCCCCATTCAAGCCGCCTGGAGCTTTTACAGTAGGAATTCCAGGCCCTCCTGGGGACTGCGCCTCCCAGAACATCCGGATGCCCTGCTGAGAATCTCAAGCCTTCGAGCAATGCCCAGCACAGCGCGGAGCTTTTGTCTGTCCGACTGGTCTAGGTGGGGCCTGGACCTGGCACGGAGGAGGAGCAGGCCGTGGGGATGCTCGGCTGGATGGCTGGAGGCAGGGAAGGGGGACTATTTATGAAGGAAATTTTAAGTTATTTATTTATGGAGCTTAGAGAGGTCCCAGAGACAAAGATTGAGAAGGCCATCCGCGCCCAGAGAGCGCGAGAAGTAGGTCTGAGGGGCAGGGGGCTCTAGAAGGAAGCCAGAGGCTGGAGGGTCAGCCACGGCTTCACTCAACTCCAACAAGAAGTCGTCTGTGCCCTGGATGAAGCCCAATAAACCTCTTCTCTCTGAAACACTGTCTACTGTCTGCTGCGTCTGTCTGGGGCAGGAGAGAACTGTCCAGGTCTCTCCAAGGAACAGAGGGGCTGTGGAGGGAACAAGGGTGTAAGAGGCCCGAGGAGCTAAGACGGGGCCAACTCCGAGGCCAGGCAGCCCGACTGCTGCAGGAGCAGGAGGCAAAGGACAACAGGGGAGCCATGGCCACGTGTGCGGGCTGTGGGAAGGGGCTCCACGAGGCTTTGGGCAGAGGCGTCCACGCAGAAGGGTGAAGGAGGGCGGCGTACAGGGCCCTCCGGAGCACACAGGCCCCTGAGGAGCCTCCAGAGCCAGGAGGTGTGGGACACAGTGGCCGTCTGCGGCAGCACGGCCACGCGACAGGGCTCTGAGAGGCGGTGGCTTCGTGAAAAGAACAGGGCCTTCCGAGTTCCTTGGAAGCCAAGACTGAAAGCAGCAGTGTGGGGCCCAGGTCAAAATGAAAGGAGAAGGCTGGCCCCCGGGGTCTGTGGATTTCCAGGCCCGATTTCACTCCCGCTGGGGCCGGCCCAGGCTGGTCCTCCCCTCAGCCTTCCAGAGGCCCCGAGTGTGTGTCAGTCTCAAGCTTCCCTGTCCGCCGCTCCTCCCGGGGGACCCAGGCAGGGCTTCCCCCCCGCCGCCGGGGTCTCCCGTCAGAGGCGCCACTTTCTGCCGCCCCTCCCGTGTCACACTTTATCCTCCCGTGAGTCCCGTCTGGAGATCAGAGGGAAGCAGAACACAGACCTGGTCCCCCAGAGAAACAGAGACCATCAGCACTGGGGCCAGGGGGAACTGGGGCCCCGCGTCCAGGGTCCGACACATGCAGTGGCAACTGACCAGGAAGCTCCCCTCAGAATCCGGCGGGGAGGGGAGAGGATCCCTGATGCCCGGGTGTCCCCAACTTTCCAAACCCCCGCCCCGTGATGGAGAAGAAACCGAGACCGAAGGTGTAGGGCCCACTACCACTTCCTGCAGATGAGCTCATGGGTTTCTCCACCAAGGAAGTTTTCCACTGGTTGAATGAGAGCCTTTCCCCGCCCTCTCACCCCAGGCTATAAAGGCAGCTGTCTGCACACCGGCCAGCAGAAGTTCCCTCTGCGAGGACACCAGGAACCAGCCGGGAGGAAGAGAAGCACCTCCAGACCCCCTCTGGAAAAAGCCCAGACACTTAGACAGTCAGGTTCTGTCCCTCTCCCACACACACTGCCCCGGACGCCATGAGCACAGAAAGCATGATCCGGGACGTGGAGCTCGCTGGGGAGGAGCCCCTCAAGAAGGCAGGGGGCCCCCAGGGCTCCAGGCGGTGCTGGTGCCTCAGCCTCTTCTCCTTCCTGCTGGTGGCGGGAGCCACCACGCTCTTCTGCCTGCTGCACTTCGGAGTGATTGGCCCCCAGCGGGAAGAGGTGAGTGTGCAGGGGGAGAGAAAGAGCCAGAGAGCTAGGGTGAGGGAAAGAGGTGCTGGCAGGGAGGGCTGGGAGAAGGACGTGGAGAAAGATGAGGAGGTAGAAAGAGGTGTGGAGAGACTCGGAGAGACAGAGAGGTGGGAGATCTAACACACGCTCAGTCACTATGAGAGAAAGAATGAATGAAGACAGACACAGAGATGTCGAGACAGATATGGGGTGTGGGCGGAGATGGGGAAGACACGGACATAAAGGTGGTGAGACCGAAAGAGATGTGGGAGAAGCCGGGCGAGGGGGCGCACTCAGGAGGCTGAGGCAGGAGGATCGAGACCAGCCTGGGCTACACAGTGAGAGTTCCAGGTCAGTCTCAAGTACAAACAAGCAAACAAACAAAAAAGATATGTGGGAGATAACAGAGTTAAAGGAAACATAAGGAAAGAGTTGAGGAGAAAAAGATAAGGAGAGATTAGAGAGGAGAAGAAAGGGTGTCTGGCCCCTTTGTCAGGTCTCTGGGCAATTAGTGAAAGAGATGCTGAACAGACAAAGCAGGTGGCAGGGAGCCCAAGCCGGACGTTCGGCCAGCGGCCCCTCCTGTGGTACTGACCTTCTCCCTTCTCCCCAACAGTTCCAGAGCAGCCCTTTCAGCTCCCTGGCCCAGACATTCTCACTCAGTAAGTTTCTCCAGTCTCCCCCTGAAACTGGGTTTGGATGGGGTGGTTGGTCACGGGATGGAAGCAGTGGGGGAAATTTAGAGTTTTGGGTTTTGAGGGAGAAAAAATGGAAGTCAAATCAGATATCTTCTGGGAAGTTTAAGGGTCTCAACTTTTTCTCTCCTCTGTTCTCCATAGGATCAGCTTCTCAAAACGGGAAGGACAAGCCTGTCGCTCATGTTGTAGGTAAGTTCTCTGAGCCTTGGGATGGAGGAGCAGACGGGATCCAGAGCGGCTGGGTGTGGGGCTGCACTGGGCTGAGGGAAGTGGGCCTTGGAGACAGTGTGTGGGGGTTGCAAGGGGAGGGTAGAGGAACAGGGAGACCGTAAGGGGGGTGCAGCCACCTGGGATGTGGGAAGACAGAAGAAACCGGAAGTGGTGGGCAGAACTTGAGGGCCAGGACACAGAGAGTGAACCGATAGGGCCACACTGACTCACTTCCCTCTCCTCCAGCAAACCAACAAGCACAGGAGAAGTTGGAGTGGCTGAGCAAGCGTGCCAACGCCCTCATGGCCAATGGCATGAACCTCACAGACAACCAGCTGGTGGTGCCGTCAAATGGGCTGTACCTCGTCTACTCCCAGGTCCTCTTCAAGGGCCAAGGCTGCCCCTACTACTTGCTTCTCACCCATACTGTCAGCCGCTTAGCCGTCTCCTACCAGGACAAGGTCAACCTCCTCTCTGCCATCAAGAGTCCCTGCCAGAAGGAGACCTCAGAGGGGGCTGAGCTCAAGCCCTGGTACGAGCCTGTCTACCTGGGAGGGGTCTTCCAGCTGCAGAAGGGAGACCGCCTCAGCGCCGAGGTCAATCTGCCTGGCTATCTCGACTTCGCCGAGTCGGGGCAGATCTACTTCGGGGCCATTGCCCTGTGAGAAGGACAGATGTCTGCCCACCCCTCCCCCTCCCCACCACAGTCCCTTTGGTTATTCACTCCTTCGGGTCCCCTCATCCTCTTCTGGCTCCGAAAGGGAATTAGGGGCTCAGGGCCAAACTGCAAGCTTGGAATTTGAAACGATACCACCACTCAGAAACCGAGGGCATAGGGATGTGCGGTGTGGACCATGGGGTGCTCACTAACCACTATCAAGAATTCAAAGGGGGCTTCCGGTTTGGATCTCTGAGTTCCGCTTGGGACGTCTGGAACATGAGGATCGGGAAGCCTTTGGTTTGGGACACTCCTCAGGAAGACCTCGCCTAGAACGTGACATGAGTGAACCTCAGGCCTTCCTCTCTTCAAATGTTTCCAGAATCGTCCCTGAGCTCTGGATCCCAACTCTCTCCACAGGGCCAAGCCCCTCTATTTATGATTGTACTTGTATTTATTATTTATTTATTATTTATTTATTTACTGATAAATATATTTATTTGGAAGGTTAGAGTGTTTGGGGGCCCACCATAGGAACAGCCTCGGGCCAGACATGTTTTCTATGAAAACGGAATGACCTATGGGCTGTTCCCACCTTGGCCTCTCGGCCTCTGTGCCTTCTTTTGCTTTTGTTTAAAACAAAATATTTATCTAACCTGGTATCTCAATAATGCTGATTTGGTGACCGACTGTTGCTGCATCGCTGAAACTCTGCTCCCCAGGGGAGTTGTCTGTAATCGCCCTACTGGTCAGTGGCGAGAAATAAAGATTGCTTAGAAAGAAATTTGTTCTCCTGCATGGACTATATTCTCCATCTGTCTCTCCCAAGGGTGGGAAGCCATACTCTGGAGACCTGTCGTAGGGGCCTTTAGATCTCTGGATCCTCACCCAGTCCTTAGTCTGCCATAGCCCAGAAGTACCTTCATAACAGCCCAATAGCCTCCCTCCACCAGGACACAGGAGCCAGAACCTAATTACCTTTCCCTCAGGGTCTGGGAACTTCCCACTCTGGGAATTCCAAGTCCCTGTTGGGAAAGTACTACAGCTCTTTCCGGCTGTTGTGGCTTGAAGGAGCTGGGAGGAGCCACATTCTCAGGTACCTGAATCACAGCCAAGGGACTTCCAGAGGCTCAGGTGTCCGGGCTGCACATCACTGGATCCCAGCCACCACCGCCCGCAACCCTGTCCTAACTGTACAACTGAACCAGTCCACCTCAACTGCTGAGGGGGACAGGATGCTACCACACGTGGGCCCAGGAGGGAGGAGGCCGAGCCTCCATCAGGGTCCAGCTGAGTTTGTGGCACGGTGGGGACTCAGGGAACTCTGCTACGACTTCCTTATCCTACTGCCAGCTGTCTCCTTCCCTCTCGTGGGTGAATTTCAAGAGACTAAAGAAAATGAAAAAACAAAGAATTGGAGTGGGGGATAGCTCAGTGGAAGAGCACTTGTTTTACTTATGTGACACCCTGGGTTCCAGCCCAGCACTGCAAAAACAAAAACCAAAAAACCTCAAGGAATAAGATGTGGGTGATGACGGACGCACTTATCATCTTGATCTCACTGATCTTTTTAGAGACAGATGAGGGAGAGGTGTGAGGTAGTGAACTGGAAAGAAAAAAAAAAAAAGCACCCTTGTTAAAGAAGACATTACTCAGGGCCAGGGATTTAGTTTAGTGGTGCTGCTGCCTGCCTTGCAAGTGCAAGGTCCCAAGTTCGATCCCTGGTACCAAAAAACAAAACCAAAGAACAAACAAACAAAAAACAAACTCAAAACCAAATTCAAGGCCCTGGGTTTAATCCTCAGTGCCACACACACAAAACAAACAAACAGCTCGGTGGCTCAGTGGTACTTGATAAAGCATCATGAAGAAGATTTTATTCAAGGTCATGGCCATTGTCACAGGGAAGGGAGACTGGGCTCAACTCCAAATGCAGCCTGGGCAGGCAGAAATTGATAGCCAAGAAAGGGTGGGAGTCAAGTGACGTAAAATGACCAAAGGAAAGAAAAAAACAGGAGTAGGGGGATTCTGGCTAAGGGGCCTGACAGGATACTTGTTGAGACTGGCCAGGTGATCAGCCCTCAACCTGGAGGAGGGTGGAAGATGAGGCATCTGACTAGATACTGAGGTGGTGATTGGATTTCAGGTGCGGGATGGGGTTTTTGAGAAACTGACTTAGGGGCATTGTTTGCTAAAACTGGATTTTACAAGGAAGTGTACAAGTGGGCATAGGAGAAGATCCAGAAGCCCAGCTAAAGTTTGGCAGGGCAAGGAGTCATTGTAACCCACCCATCCCATGGGAAGTCTCTGCTGGACACAAATTCCAAGACAGGAGGCTGGGCTGGTGGTGCCCACCTGTAATCCAAGCAGATGGGATGCTGAGGCAGGAGGATCGCCATGAGCTCAAGGCCAGGCTAGACCACATGGCAAGATCCTGTCTCAAAAAACAAAAAAAGGAAAGAAAGAAAAGTTAAAGACAAATACAGAATCAGAAAAAGAAACTCCAAAGAAAAGAAAGCCCCACGGGGCTCGGAAGTCGAGCTTTCCTCGAGGTGGGTTGGCAGGTAGGGGAAAACCAATCGTGTGGTAAGCTGCCAGGGTGGGGTGACCCATGGGGTGACCTAGATAGGTCCTTGGGTTCCCCTATGCTTCCTCCAGCCTGCGCTTAAGTGGGTCACAGTGTGGGGCAAGGGCTTCCTACCCCGGGGCCCCACATTGGCCCACTGCGGAAGGAAGACCCAGAGTGGCGCGATGGGTGAGGACTTCCGCCGCCACCAACCCTAACCCTATAGTCAGTTTCCTCCCTGCCTCCCGGGTTCCGCCTGGCGTGGGGCCTGGGCTGCTGCCTCCTCCTGCCCCGCTGCCCGCTCCTCCCCACAGGCTGCTCACTGCTCTCCAAGAGCCATCTGTGGCTTAGGGATACAGGAGCTTACAGCGCCCAGCAAAGTCTCCCGCTGGACCGCCGAGGCACCGCCCAGGCCGCGCAGGGGACCCCTCGGTGCCTCCCTTCCCTAAATGACCCCTGTCACAGCGGGGCGGGCCGGGGGAACAGGAGCAGTGCGGGGCAGTGCGGAGCGGAGCTGGAGACTCCGTGGCCCAGGTCCCTCTGCCCTCCAGTGAGCGCCCGGGGGCCTGGGGTCCCCATCAACCCAGGGCAAATACTTCCAGTGCCCCGAACGATTGCGAGCACCCGGGAAAAAATCGGAGACTAGCGAACCCAGGCCAGAACGAAGCCAGTCTTTATTTGGTCAGGCCCAAGGTCGGTTTCCGGAACCCCCCCAAAAAATTCTCATTCATGATTTTTTAATCATATTTTAGTGACTATATTGCAGTTTGTTTTATGTTTTGAATATGTTATTTGTTAAACTGATTACCAATTGATAATTAGGTTGTTTCTTTTTCTTTTTTCTTTGCTATTATACAAATGATGATCTTTATCCTTTTCAAGAGTTAAAATAATTGGTTGTATAAAACTAGAATGTATAAGTACATAAATTATTTAAATTAATTACCAGCAATTTTTTTTTTTTTTTTTTTTTTTTT